AAAGCAGTCATCCCTGTTCCCACGTTAGGAGAGGAGGGCAGAGTCCGAGGCGGCCCTTCGATGCCCATCACTTCCYGCCCTCACATCTGCTCCTGGGCCGGCTGTTGCCTGACAGCAGGACCCAGTGTCCCGGGCACCGACTCCGAGTTGGGTCAGGGGGCGGGGCGGGGCGGGAAGGCTGCGCTGCCCGTGACTTGAGGGCTTCCCCTGGTCTCTGGTCTGAGAGTCTTAGAGTGGTCCTGTCTGCAGTGCTTCTAAGAGCAGAGTGAACACAGCCTTGTTTACAGGTTCCAGAGAAAAGTGTTTTGAAGCAGAATTGCGATAGCAATACTTGCCAATGGGTGGTTTATAATTAATCATTCCCTATTTTAAAAAAAAGTGACTCAGTTTTAAAGATTCAGAAAACCATTACTCAAGCTCCTTGGCAGAGGAAATGGCCATGATGTGGCTCCCTGCAGCTCTGCTTTTGTGGAAGAGAAAAAAAAAAAGCCTTTTTATTTGGTGTTTCTCTGAGCTGCCCAAATGCTTTGGCCCTTGTTAGCAAGTGGAGGACAGAACAGCTCCTGCCATTGTTGAGAAGTCACACTACACAGGCAAGAGCCTCCAGCTGGGCTGGGCTTGGGAAGTGACCAGAGACTGGAACTGGCAAAGGCACACGCAGAAAGGGTCTCCTTTGGCCTCTAGATTCATTTTCCTGCCTCCGTGTCTGCTGCTTGTGAGAAGCTCACTTCTCTGGTCTCCCTCGAGGGCCCGTCCACTGCAAAGCCCACGAGGCGCCACCCGGCCACACTGATCGGTGCCTCTGGGACTTGCTAGCGTGAAGACCCTGTCCCTGTGGGCACCTCTTAGGTACCCTGGGTGAAACAAACACTTATTAAGCACCCACTGAGTTCTCTGATGTGCAGCCAGGTGGAACTTACAGGCTTGTGGTCACGGGGGTGGGGGGGTGGGGACCTGTGTATACAGTCCCACATCACTTAATGGTGGGGACACATTCCGAGAAATGGGTCTTCAGGTGATCTTGTCGTGTGAACTTTCTAGAGTTACACAGACCTACGGGGTGTAAGTCAAGCATTTGATGTGGCCTCTTGATACCATCGAGGGATGCAGTAAACAGACTGAGAGGCTGCGTGGGGGTCACACTGCACACTGCTGTTCTACAGTAGGTTTTATTTTACAAGCAGGACTACACTCCAAATAACTATAAAACGTATCGTTTAGTAAATACGTAAACCAGAGACACAGTTGTTTGTTTGTTTGCTTGCTTATTGATCTATGTTTTGTGATACTGGAGATTAAGCCCAGGGTTTTTTTTAGATGTTGATGTACCTTTATTTTATTCATTTATTTATATGTGGTGCTGAGGATGGAACCCAGTGTCTCACACATGCTAGGYAAGTGCTCTACCACTGAGCCCCAGCCCCAGCCCCCCAGGGGGTGTTTTACTACTGAGTTACATCCTCAGCCCTTAGTTTCTTTTTTTTTTTTTTTTAAGTCAGGGTCTCACTGGGTTGCAGGCCTCCAATGGCTATCCACTGGCCTCCAATTGCTATCCTCCTGCCTCAGCCTCCTGAAGCTGGGGTTAGAGGCAGGCATCATCACACCTGACATTAATTATCATTATTAAGTGTCATTTACTGTACATAATTGTATGTGATACACACACACACACACACACACACACACACAGAGGCTAAACAGGCTACTTGAGGGTGATGAAGCAGGATGAGCCTTGGTCCTGAGGCCCAGAGTCCATGCTTCTTGAGCTTGAATATGGTGGTCAGTCACCGGGAACTGGTCAGTCATCTCTGGCTTGACTTCCCTCGGGCTGACTGTCTGTAAACATGCTGCCCACCGGCTCTGGCAGGACGGCGGTGGCCGGGAGCTGCACCTTCCCCACCTGGGGCCTCTCGTGGGAGGCGGCGCGCATGYGCACCAGCAGCGGTGGCTCCTGGCTGACCCCTGCCCCGCCCGAGGCGCACAGGGCACCAGCTGCCGGTGGGACGCATCCGCCAGCGACAGGGGAAGGTGTGACAGGTTCCTCCTGGGCTCCCCTCCCGCGGCCTCGCAGCTTCCTGAACGGGCTGGACCCACCTTTACCCCGGTGCCGGGGTGGTAGCCGGGCCTGGGGGTGCCAGGGAGGCTGCCCTCCTGAGCCCCAGCCCCTGGGCAAGGTGGAGAGGATGGACCCCGGTGGGTCCTCACCCCAAGGTCACCCCGGCACCACGAGGAAACACCTGTGCCCGCTGTGACGTCTCGGGGACCGTCCATGGGTCTGACCCCACAGTGGCCCACGCCTGGAATCCCAGCGGCTCGGGAGGCTGAGGCAGGAGGATCAGGAGTTCAAAGCCAGCCTCAGCAACTCAGCAGACCCTGACTCTAAATAAAATATAAAAAGGGTGAGGATGTGGCTCAGGGGTTAAGCGCCCCTGGGTTCAATCCTGGGGGCCCATCACTGTATTCCCCAGTGTGAGGTTGGCCGAAGATCCGTCTGTGATTCAGAGCCGTGCCCTGTCCATGAAAGGAGGAGCTATCCATGGTTCTTTCTTTTCTTTTTTCTTTTGTCCTGGGGATGGAACCCAGGAGTGCTGAACCCTGGAGCCACATCCCCAGCTTTTTAAAAAATATTGTGTTTAGAGGCAGGCTCTCGCTAAGTTCCTGAGGCTGGCTTTGAACCCGAGACCCTCCTGCCTCAGCCTCCTGAGCTGCTGGGATGACAGATGGGTGCCAGCCAGGCTGCCCAGTCAGGCTGTCCCTGACTCCTTCCATGGACTTTTAGGCAAACTGTATACAAACGGTGCCCATTGTGTGCGGGTGCTCCTAGGCTGCCTGCAACGGCAGATGTCCACTCTCCAGCTGATGGACAGATGTTGCTAGCCTGGCAGTAGCCTCCCCCGCCACCGCAAACCGTCCTTTTGGACAGCGTCTCCGTCCATCATGAAGCYGTCAGATTTGAGGTGCTTCTTCAGCTGCATCCTCTGTGCAGGAACTTGATGTCCGTGATAGGCCTCATCCTTACGGCGGCTTTATCTGGTGGAAAACGGGGAACTGAAAAGATGGGCAGTGAGAGGGAGGGTCAGCGGGTCTTCCAAACCTCCTTCAGTCACAGACGGAAATCAGTATGTGACCGGAGGTGGCAAGCTGTCACCTTCCTCAGCTCCCACTGGATCCTCTCAAGGGCCAGGTACCCAATCATGTCCTCTTGGCTGCTGCCCGGCTTCYGGGGCCTCCTGCCTGTTGGTGGCCATCTCTGGTGGCTGGGAGGAAGGACGGGCTCCACGCAGGAGATGACGAACTCTTCCCCAGCAAAAAGCTTTTGCAGATCCAAGAGACACTTGTGCTTGTCCCCAGACCCAGGAGCATGGGCAGGGAGGTGACATCGGGTGCTTGGCCTGTCTGACATCTCTGGTCACATTTGTTGCCGCTGCCCTTGGTTCAAGGGATCAGGTGGGCTTAATAGGAGAACCGGCTGTGTCCCCGGCCCCATCTCCTCAGCTGGTTGGATTGGTTTCACTGATTGGTTCATAACTGAGTGCAAGGTGGCTGGGATAATTTTTATCTTAGATTCTGTGAATCTATAACCCGTCCTAAAGCTGGGCTAGAAAAAAAAGTCTTTGTTCCGCTAACCTTTAATCTCCTTTCTCTTGAGTCGTCGCACACACGATATTTTTTCGAGGGGTGGGTGATGCGCTTTGTCTTTTTGACTTTCCAGTAACTTTTTCTTGGATCCCTAGAATAAAAACAGCATCACCACAGATGTTTAGTAGAGAGGCGTCGGGGACCAGAGGAAGCATGGGACACACCGCCAGACCCCTGGTTCACATCCTGAGTGTGCCTCTATCTTACGGGTGATCTGGGGCGAGTCTCCTGATTCTTCTGGGCCTCCGTTACCATTTATAAAGTAGACCCTAAGGACCCTGAGATTTTGAGACTTCCTTCAGACCCGTGTGTGCCAGGAGCCCTGCTTGGTGCCTGGYGCTCATTCCCAGGTGGACTCATTCATCCACTCCAGGGCGCTGGGTGTGCCAGGCAGTGTGCCCAGAGCTGGACCGTAACAGAGCGCCCACCAGGCTCGGTGGCCGGCGCCTGTAATCCCTGAGGCTGAGGAAGGTAGATGGCAAGTTCAAGGCCAGCCTTAGCAACTTAGCAAGACTCTGTCTCAAAACAAAAAGTAAAAAGGGCTGGGGGTGCAGCTACGTGGTGGAGCGTGCCTCCCGGGGTTCAACCCCCAGGACCTTCACAAACGAACCACACAACACAACAGGTGCCTCGTCTTGTGCTGCCTGGCGWCTTGGGGGAGACAGACTGGGAATGGGTGGTTGCACGGCAGTTGGGATAGGTGTCGCGGTGGAGAGGCCTCATCTAGTGAGGGGGACAGGGGAGGCTTTGGGGTAAGGGGTACTTGATGCTGAGTCCAGAAATAGGGGAGTTTGTCCTGGGGATGGGGCAGGGGAGGAGCCAGTGTGAGAAGAGCACTGTCTGGGGACAGTGTGGCCTTTGAAGGGCCTCCTCTTTTTTCTTTCTTCTCCTTCTTCTCCATCTTTTTTTGGTGTAAGGGAGTGGACCCAGGGGATCTTAACCACAGACCACACCCCAGCCCTTTTTATGTTTTCTTTAGAGACAGACAGGGTCTCACTGGGTTGCTTAGGTCCTAAAGGAAGTTGCTGAGGCTGGCTTTGAACTCGTGATCCTCCTGCCTCAGCCTCCTGAGCCCMTGGGATGACAGGCCTGGGCCACCACCCCTGGCCCTTGGAAGGGCTGTGTTGTGTTGTGTTTGTGTGTGTGTGTGTGTTTCACCAGGGGAGTGGGATGGCCAGATTGTGGCTTGAGAAGGCTCACTCTGGCAGCCGGGGGTGTCAGGGGCAGCACCGGGGGCCAGTGTCCTAATCCAGGCAGAGGTGTCCTGGACGGTGACAGGTTCCAGAGTTGGTCAGTCCTGAAGCCTCTGTGGCTTCCCGTTTCAGGGTGCTGTGGCTCACTGAGTGTTCTCCCTCCCCCAGAGATGGCCGGTGACGTGCTGAGGAGCCTGCCAGGGGCCAGCGTCACCCTGACCTGCCCCGGGGAGGACCTGGGGGCCAACGCCACCGTCCGGTGGGTGCTCGCTGGCTCACGCCACCGGAGCTGGGCCGGCGTGGGAAGGAGGCTGCTGCTGAGGTCGGTGCGCTTCGAGGACTCTGGGAACTACTCCTGCTCCCTGGACGGCCACCCGGCTGGGACCGTGCAGCTGCTGGTGGACGGTGAGTGTYCTCGGGGCTCTGGATGGCCCGGCTCTGCGCCTTCTAGGAAGACTCCTTGCCTGGGCCTTTAAACTCCTGTTATTTCCTCGGCCCAAGAATTTTGGGGAAAGGCTCCCTGATGTCCCCGGTGCCAATGAGGAAGTTCCCCCTGGGGGGGGCATCTGGCTGGTGGAGGGCACTGTCTGTCTGTCCTGCCAGTGGACCCAGAGAGCCTGGATCCGAGTCTTCCTCCTTCACACTCAGCTTGACTTGGGCTCCTCAGATCTCTGCAAAATCAAGTCGATTTTCTGACCTTAGAGTGTCTCAAAGGTGAAATGGAGTGTTGGGTTGGTGGCCGCCACCTGTAAGGTAACGCGGGAGCACGGCAAGTTGGAGGCCAGCCTGGGCAACGATGGAAACCCTGTCTCCAAGGAGATCACAAAAAGAGTAGGGGGTGTATCTCCGGGGCAGAGTGCCGGGTTCAATCCCCAGCACCAAAACAAAAAAAGAAAAAGATGAAGCCAGAGTCCTCCCACAGCCGGGACTGCTCTGCACAAGGCAGCTCTCCTGACTTTTAGAATCAGCTCCTTCCGCTGGGCGAGGTGCTGCTGCCTGTAACCCAAGCTGCTCGGGAGGCAGGAGGATCTCGAGGTCCAAGTCAGCCTCCGCAACTTAGTGATACCTTAAAGCAACTTAGCCAGACCCTGTCTCTAAATAAGATCTTAAAAAGCTGGGGGTGTGGCTCCGTGGGTGAGCGCCTTTGGGTTCAATCCCCAGCACCAAGAAAGCCAAGCCCAAAGCCTCCTTCACTTCCAGATGAAGCCTCCCTCACTAGCCAGGGCCGGGTGCTAGGGCCCGGTGCTAGGCCCTTCCTTGTTTCTCACCTAGTCCTCCCACCAACCCCGGGAAGGAGGGCGGCATTTATCACCATTATCATCATCAGGTCATCGAGGACATTGAAGAGGGGCTGGGACTTACCCAAGGCCACACAGCCGGGTCTACAGATTCCAAAGTCCCAGCTAGGCAGGGTGGTGCACACCTGGAATCCCAGTGATTGGGGAGGCTGAGGCAGGAGGATTGCAGCGTTGAGGCCCGCCTCAGCAACTCAGAGAGACTCTGTCGCAAAATAAAAAGAGCTGGAGGTGTAGCTCACTGATAAAGCACCCCTCAATTCAATCCCTAGTACTGCCCTAGCCCCGGAAAAAAAATACTTGTCATCCATGAGAATATCTGTGTGAGTCTGAGTTTTAGCTGCGGAGTGGCCAGTCCCCTCCGCAGGGAGGCTGTGCACACCTGGGAGGTCAGGCTCCTCAGCCTGCTGTCTCTCCTTCCAGTTCCTCCGGAGAAGCCCCGGCTCTCCTGCTTACGAAGGAGCCTCCTCAGCAGCGTGGTCTGCGAGTGGAGTCCTCGGAACCCCCCGTCCCCCACCACCCAGGCGGTGCTGATGGTGAAGAAGCTGTAAGTAGCCTGGGCTGGGCTGGGTGTGTGCTCCTGCTCACCCGGGTGAGCTCCCACAGGAAGGCAGAACTGGCCGACTCTAATAAATAGACTAAAAACAAACAAGACTTTTACTTTGAGACAGACTCTCCCTAAGTTGCTGAGGCTGGCCTTGAATCTGTGATCCTCTTTCCTCAGCCTCCTGAGTCTCTGGGATTACAAACCTGCACCACTCTGCCCAGCTGAGGGATTGCAAAATTTTACCAGTAAAAAGTAATTCCTGGAGCAGAGCGCGGTGGCACCCGCCTGAAATCCCAGCGGCTTGGGAGGCTGAGGCAGGAGGTTCAAAGCCAGCCTCAGTAAAGACAAGGCGCTAAGCAACTCAGTGAGACCCTGTCTCTAAATAAAATACAAAATAGGGCTGGGGGTGTGGCTCGGTGGTCGAGTGCCCCTGAGTTCAATCCCCAAGTATCTCCCCCACCAAAAAAGTAATTGCTGGGACTGGGGGCGGAGCCTGTGGCAGGAGTGCTTGTGCCGCACGCACCTGTGAGGTCCTGGGTTCAATCCCCAGCACCAAAATAAAAACCCCAAACCAACCAACCAACCAAACAACAACAACAACAAAACAGAAGAAGAAACTGAGGTTCAGAGAGATCTTTTAGCTAGAAAGTGGCTCTGCTGGGAACCCGATTCCTGGTGCCTGGTTTGGGGTGTGGCTCTGAAGAAGATGCCAATGTGGGAGGGAAGGCCAGCCAGTTCTTACCCGTGTCTGGCCCCAAGTGTGTCAGGCTCTTTCTATAGGGAGGCAGGTGACAGGAAGTGGTCATGGATGGAGAATCGGAACTGGGACTCGGGGGCCAGAAGTCATGCCCGCCACTTCAAGGTGGCGTAAAGCGTGGGCGTGGGACACATGGGATGGGCCCAGCCGGAGCTGTGGAGGACTGGAAGGCGCGAGCACAGATCTGTCCTCAGACCCAGGGCTCCTCCGTCTAGACGTTTGGCGTCGGGCCTAAGCTGCCGGCCGTGAGAGCACAGCACTCCCCTCTTCTCCTTCCCAAGGTTTCGACTACCCTTGGTCAGCTGTGGCCTGGAAACATCAGGTAGAGAATTCTAGAAATCAGCCGTGCCCAGGTTTTAAATCAAGCCACTCGGAGTCGCCTGATGGGAGCATGTGCCGTCCTGCCCGGGCGTGGATCCTGCCCAGCAGTCGGCCTGCATCCTAACCTCCCCCATCCCCGGGCCGCCTCCCTGACCGGCGTCTGTGTTCGGCCAGCCCTGGTCGTACTCAGCAGTGGCCCGGGGTAGAGATGCAGGCAGCCCTAGGACAGGAAGGGACAGACGACCCTGGTCCTGTGGCAGCGCTGGGGCATGCGGCGGAGCGTGGCAGGTGCAGGGTTTGGCACCGTCTGGGGCTTCGGGCACTTGCTCGGGTTCTTGGAACACACTCCCTGCAGACAGGACTACTCTGCCACAAAGTCAGAACAGTGACCTCCACACGGTGGCTTGGCTGCCACTTGTCTCCAGAGAGTTGCTGGGAGGCCTGACGGTGTGTCTGTGTTCCCGACTCCAGATCACCCCCTGCAAAAGACACAGCTGCTCTGGGACATTAGTCCACGTTTCTCCATAGGCAGCACGTTCTGCCCGCCGCCCGGCGGCTCCAGGCCATGTCAGAGATTGAACCCAGGGGCACTAAACCACGGAGCCTCACCCCCRGSCCTTTTTATGTTTTATTTTGAGACAGGGCCTCCCTAAGTTCCTCYGGGCCTCCCTTTTGCTGAGGCTGGCTTTGAACTCCCCATCCTCCTGCCTCAGCCTCCTGAGYCGCTGGGCTTACAGGCGCGTGCCCCGGCACTGACTGATTCACGCTGGAYACTTCATCTCGAACCCTCTGTTGACAATACGGTGGGAGAGGACCAGGTGTCTAGCTCTGCGTCCTCCTCCTCCAGTGGTCTCTGCTGAGAAGCTCTGGGAGAGGGCAGTGGGGATGGAGGCTGCCAGAGCTCCAGGGACCGGGGCCACCGAGGCCTGAGACTCTGGGGCCCAGGAAAGCCGTTCTGGTGTGTTCTGCTTTCTGTTTTGGGCGTGACACTTTCACATCCTCCCCGGCACCCGCCCAGCCTGTCACCCAGCAGCGCCTGAGCTGGGGCTCCCGCCTGGGCTGGGGGAGGCAGGATGGGTGCCCAAGGGGCACAGACGGGCCCTGCCTCCTGGGGTGGGTGGGACCGAAGCCGAGAGGTGCAGGGGACACAGAGCAAGGGTGGCTGTCACTCCCCGGGGCCAGGCTCCCAGAAGCAGTTTGTCCCCCCTGCTAGACTCTTCCCGAGCCCAGGAGCCGCGTTAGAGGCTGGTGATTTGTCCCCCGCAGCAGGGAGAGTGGCTGCCATGGCCTGACATGCCCGCAGACAGGCACAGGGCGAGGCTCCCTTGCTGACTCACCTGCCGGAACCGCCACCTTCCTACGAGATGCTTCTAGGAGTTCCTCTGCGACACCCAGCATCTCCAGGGGGGCTTCGTCCTCGAGGGCAGATCATTTTTGTCATTGCCCTGACACCAGGTCAGAGGCTCGGCCGCTCTGCCTCTGCGAGTCTGTGTCCCCGTGGGGCCAGGAGCCCGGATCCTGCCCCAGTGCCAGCCTCAGTGACAGCTGAGCCCCTCCTCCAGCACCTCCCGCCGTGCCAGGGGCCATGTCCTAGCCATGTTAGTCCATTGTCCCTTTGAGGTGGGGCTGTGAATAGTCCCGTTTTCAAATGACAGCACAGAACCTCGAGGCTGGTTGCAGGACTCACTGGGAGCTAAGAGAGCAGATGACCCGGAGCTGGGATCCAGGCCCTGGGATCCGACTCACATTTCCCCTCTAGGGGAAGCACAGAAACGGTAGCAGGACTCCCTCCCCTTTGTTTTGTGACCAACAGCGAGAAAGTCCCAGCCGAAGACTTCCAGGTGCCCTGCCAGTATTCTGAGGACTCGCAGAAGTTCTCCTGCCAGCTGGAGATCCCAGAGGGGGACAAGTCCTTCCACATCGTGTCCTTGTGCGCGGCCAGCAGTGCCGGGAGCAGGGCCAGCGACCCCCAGGCGTTCGAGGGATATGGAGTCCGTAAGTGAGCTCTCCTCTCCCCAGCCCCACAAGTGTTTTGTTTGTTTTTTTTCTCTTGTGACATAATATTTCTTTTCTTTTTGGTGCTTTTTGAACCTAGGGGTGCTTAATCACTGAGCCACCACCCCAGACCTTTTTTAAAATTTTGAGACAGGGTCCGGCCAAGTTGCTTAAGGCCTCACTAAATGGCTGAGGCTGGCCTCCAACATTTGATCCTCCTGCTTCAGCCTCCCACGTCGCTGGGATTGCAGCCTTGCACCGCTCTGCCTGGCCCTTGACTTAATATTTCTCGTCCATTCCTTGGAGGGGCAGGGAAGGAGCRGTTGAGGGGTTTGGCTCGATGGAGCCCTTTTGGGCATTGACGGATGAGGGTCCCGTCAAGATGCGTGTGCGGGGCTGAGCGTGTGGCTTAGTGGCAGAGCACTTGCCTAGTGTGCGAGGCTCTGGGTTTGATCCCCAGCATGGGGGAGGAGGGCAAATAAATAAAAAGATGGGCCTGGGGTGGCCCSGTCTGGGGCAGGGGCTCCGGCCGCCCCACGGAAGCCACGTTCCCTGTCACAGTGCAGCCTGACCCGCCCGCCAACGTCATGGTCACCGCGGTGGCCGAGAACCCCCGCTGGCTCAACGTCACCTGGGAAGACCCCGTCTCCTGGAACTCGGACTTCTACAGACTGCAGTTCCAACTCCGGTACCGGGCCGAGCCCTCCAAGGCCTTCACCACGGTGAGCTCACCCGCTGCTTCTGAGCAGAGAGGGCACTGGGGGGTCACAGAAAGGACGTGAAGGAAAGGAGCGACTTCCAGGGCCCCTTGGCAGCTAGCTCCCCTGCGCCCGGACGTCTCATTTACAAAGTGGGAGTCGTGACGCTGGGCTGTGCCTCACAGCTGGTGGGCAGGAAGGGTCCCAGGTGGCTCTGGGCACCTGGGGAGGGCTGTCAGCATTCGCAGCCGCTGTGCCTCGCCCTAGGTCAGGAGCGCCCAGTACCACTGCATCATCCACGACGCCTGGCGCGGCTCCAGGCACAGGGTGCAGCTCCGGGCCCAGGAGGAGTTTGGACTCGGCTCCTGGAGTGAGTGGAGCCCCGAGGTCACGGGGGTTCCCTGGACAGGTACCTCGCGGGCCTGGGGGGCAGGCGGGGGTGGCTTGTCAGTGGATCGGCAATGTGCGGGCTCTAAGGCAGGTCCCCCCAAAGCTGGTGCCCCAAACGGCAACCATWTATCTGCTTCAGACTCGGCTGGTCTTGCCACGAGGTCTGGAGGGGCCGGGGTGGACCCGCCCGCGGCGGGTGGGGGGGCGCTACCTGGCCCTGGTCTTCCCCACCCCTCCCCCAGGCCACCCAGGCTGGGGACGAGGAGCTCAGAGGGTCGTACACATGTTGACTCCACCGCAGTTACTAATGCTTTTTATTTTTAAAAAGGTGATAAAAAGTAATCCTCAGTGCTTTGGGGTGGATCATTGAAATCAACACGTTGAGTGATAAAATAAAAAATTCTAGAAACATATGAAGAGAATAACTATCAACAGTATTTTCCCTTAGCAAAAACCAGTGGGCATATTTTAGTTTTTAAAAAAGACATTTATGTGTGTGTATTGACATATTATATATATATAAAATATTGTGCCAGATGGTGTATAAAACCTGTGATCCCAGTGACTCGGGAGGCTGAGGCAGGAGGACTGCAAGTTTGAGTGAGCCATTTAGCAAGGCTCTAAGCAACTCAGCAAGGCCTTGTCTCAAAGTAAAAAATAAAAGGGCTGAGGCCAGGTGCGGTGGTGCCCACCCATAATCTCAGAGGCTTGGGAGGCTGAGGCAGGAGGATGAGTGGTCCTGGGGACGTGGCTCAGTGGCCGAGTGCTCCTGAGTTCAATCCCCAGTGCCAACCAACCAACCAACCAAACAAACAACAAAAAACCTAAAAAACAAAGAAAAGGGCTGGGGATGTAGCTCCCTGGTGGAGTGCTCCTGGGGAGCCGTTCCACTTTGTCTCTGAATTTGAAGTCTTATAAACAGATTTCCTGCCTAGCTTCAAATGTTTTATTTTTCCAGTTTTTTTTTTTCTTTTCCCTCTTTGTTACTGGGGATTGAACTCAGGGGTTCTTAACCACTGAGCCACATCCTTAGCCCTCTTTATATTTTCATTTAGAGACAGGGTCTCCCTGAGTTGTTGAGGGCCTCGCCAAGTTGCTGAGGCTGGCTTTGAACTTGCAATCCTCCTGCCTCAGCCTCCTGAGCTGCTGGGATTATAGACGTGGGCCACTGTACCCAGCATGTTGTCAAATTATTTTTGAAAATGTACTATTTGCTAACTGCATGATTAATTTTTTTCAATACCCACGGGAGGTGTTTTGTTTGTGTGGGGACTGGGGGTTGAACGACGCCGGGGTGCTTAACCACTTCCTGTGTTGCTGGGGATTAGAGGCATGTACTACTGTGCCCAGTTTGGAGGTTTTTTTTAAAAAAGAAAAAAATTAAGAATTTGTATCAGATTAATACAGAAGAAGGCTTGAGAAGCTGAGGCAGGAGGTCTGCAAGTTGGAGGCCAGCCTCAGCAACTTAGTGAGGCCCTAAGCAACCCACAGAGGCCCTGTCTCAAAATAAAAAATTTAAAAAATAAAGACTGGAGATGTCACTCGGTGGACAGTGCCTGGTTTCAGCCGMCAGGACCCAAACCACAACAGCAGCCAGACCCCCAGAATGCCCAGCAGAGGCCCGCGCCCACTGTTGTCGAATCCAATTAGTCATTCATTCTCTCTCTCTTTGTTGGTACTGGAGACCCAGGGGTGCTCGACCACTGAGCCACATCCCCAGCCTTTTTATAATTTTTAATTTTGAGACAGGGTCTCGMTAAATTGCTGGGGCTGGACTTGAACTTGGGATCCTCCTGCCTCAGCCTCCCCGCTGGCTGGCAGGACAGGCCTGCGCCACGCCCACTCAATTAGTCATTCTAAATTACTTGGCCATTAAAAGAATAAGGCCAGACAGGCACCACCCTGAGGCAGGCCTGTGATCCCAGCAACTCTGGAGCCTGAGGCAGGAGATCATAAATCCAAGGCCATTCTGGGAAAGTTAGGAGGGGCCTTCGGCAATCCATGGAGACCCTTGTCTTAAAAAGGGCTGGGGAGGTAGCTCAGTGGTAGAGCACCCAAGGAGTCGATTCCCACGACTGTATTTAAAAAAGAAAGAAAAGAAAAGAAAAAGGTCCTGATTTAATAGTCGTTGCAGAATCACGTCTCTGGTGTCCTCGTTCCCCTGTCCTGGGGCACTTGGGCTCTTCGGTCTTGGCCGCGGACAGGCCGGACAGAGCTGTTGGAGTTCCTGCTTTCGGTTCTTTTGAGTCGACACCCAGAAGTGGAATTTCAGGGTCACGTGGCAATTCTATTTTTAATTTTTTGAGGAACTTCTGTCTCGGCTGCTCCCTTTCACATTCCCTGCGGCGTGCACCGACCCACCTCCCGACACTAGTTATCTCCTTTGCCTTTGGGCCCTCCCCTCTCCCTTCCTTTCTTTATCTCTCTTTTTGAGACAGAGTCTCAGATTCCAGGCTTAAGGGATCCTCCTGCCTCAGCCTCTCCAGGAGCTGTGATTACAGGAGTCCACTGAGTTCTTATTTTTGGTACCAAGAATTGAACCCGGGGGCGCTTCACCACTGAGCCACGTCCCCAGCCCTATTTTGTATTTTATTTAGAGACAGGGTCTCACTGAGTTGCTTGTTAAATTGCTGAGGCTGGCCTTGGACTCGCAATCCTCCTTCCTCAGCCTCCCAAGTCTCTGAGATTATAAGTGTGCGCCGTCACTCCCAATTCAGAAGGTCTTCTTACGTGGGCCAGCGCTGGCCTTGCTCTGTCCCCTGGGCTCCTCTGAGCCCAGCCTGCTCTCTGAATTCTTCCGGGGTTCTCAGAAGACTAAGATCTGCTGGCACTCCTCTTGCCAGGCGGCTGCATGGGAGGGTTGGGAGTTTCTCACTTGGCTSCCACCTGCCCCTGAATCTGGTCTCATTTGTGGACGTATCTCCTTAAACTGTTGGCATCCTCTCTTCTGTGGCCATCTGGGCAGCCTGGGGACTGTCTTGGACTTTCCAGCCTTGGCTCATGTGCTGGAGTGACCCCACGGGCTCAGAGAATCTGGTTCCTCCTCCTGAGCAGCTGCAGAGTTGAGCTCCTGTCCCGGGAGGATGGCGTCTTCACACCCCGCGACGACTTTATCCCGGAGAGAGACCTGCAGCGCCCTCTCCACGGAGGGTGGACGCGACCAGGGGGACGCAGGACAGGAACGGGGGCAGGCGGGGGAAAGCGAGAAGGAGGTTGGGAGAAAGGTGAGGCGTGCTCTCCTGCCGGTGGCGCAGTCCACGAGTGGGCCGCGCGCGCGCGCGTGTGTGTGTGTGTGTGTGTGTGTGTGTGTGTAGGTGTGCGCGCGCGCGCGTGCCCCCCTCCCCCATGGGACAGGTACCGTCACCCTGTCTTAGGGCCCTTGCTTTGGCCACCAAGGCCAGGACACTGCTGTCAGCCCCTGCAGTAGTGGCTCTTGGAGACGCTCCTGGGGCCCTTGACCACAGGGAGCAGAGGCCACCTGTGACCAGCAGCTCCTCCCGAGTGGGAGTCGGCCCAGCTTCACCCTCTCCTCTCCCTGAYGGCAGGGACGTCCGGTCTGGGTCCCCAGGACCCTGTTCACTGCGCGCCGCCAGGGCAGAGCGCCTGGGGAACTCCGCCAGGTGGAGGGGGGGTCTTCTGTTTTCTGTTTGGAAATCCCTTTAACTCCCTGGCCCAGTCCCCAAGAACGGGGCCACACCCCGTAGAGAAGGTTGGGTTTTGCCTTTGTCACGCATGTGGGTGGCCTGAGGCCAGCGCCAGGGAGCTGCAGGCCGTTAGGTCCCCTGGCCTGGACCTGCAGCTGTGGGACCTCGTCCCCACCTGGGCCATCCCATCAGGGGACCTCGTTTGCTCCTCTCCTCAGCACCAGGTGGGACAGGCTGCCAGTCAAGAGGGCTTGGTCACAGAGATCTTGTCCTGTTCACTGATGCGGCTCCCCACACTCCTCCATCTGGGCGCTTTCCTTCCATCCCTCCCTCTCCCCCTCGGTCCCTCTCTCTCTCTCTCTCTCTCTCTCTCTCTCTCTATCTCTATCTCTCTCTCCCCGGTACTGGGGGTCAGACCCAGGGAGCCTCACGGCAGCCCAGCCCTTTCTAGAGAACTTTATTTTGGGACAGGGTCTTACTAAACTGTCACACCAGCCTCAAACTCGACTCTTCCTCCTCAGCCTCCCCAGTGGCTGTGGTCACAGGCCGGTGTCACTGTGCCTGGTCCTTGGACCTGCCCGTCGGCTGGGCGTGCTGACCCCCACCCTGCCTACCTGGGGCAGAGCACTGGTCTGCAGGGAGGCAGACGTGGGTCCAGCCGCTGACCCTGCTCCTAGGACCAGCCCGACCTTGGGGGAGTCCCTAACCAGGCCCCGGGTGGCTCGTCTGTCAAGTGGGGGTGGAAAGGCTTGCCTCCAGAACCCCACCCAGAGCCCCCCTTGCCGGGTTGGGCGGCCTCCATGATGGGAAGCAGCGGGCACAGGGCCAGACTCGTGGTCAGCGCGTAACAAACCCGGAGTCAGCTGGCCCCGACACCGTGCGGGCCTCTCTCTGCAGCAGGTACTTGGCTCCACCCAAGCCACAGGCATCACGGTGGCTCCCAAACCTCTGGGCCTTCAGCTCCAGAGCTGGGAGCCGGCCACCTCCCTGGTTCAGCTGCTGTCCTTCTYGGCAGAACCTGACCGTCGACCCTCCAGACCCGTCTCCTGCTTTTGTGTCCAAGCACTGTGCGTCCTCCATGCCGTTTCTAAGTCACAAGACTGTCACCTGTCACCCCCCAGACACCACCCGTGGCTCCTGGGGCTCCCCCTGAGCTTGGTGTAGAGGCCTTTGGGACGGCCTGCTGACCRCCCAGTTGGTCTCACTGAGTGAGGCCCTTGGTCCACTCACTCATTTTGTCCATGAGCTCATTCTGATTGGAATATGGACTCGGAACTATGCATACGGGGTGGACAGAGGCCTCCGCCCGCCTCTGGTCCTGGGGGTGGACCCCAAGGGCGCTCCCCCTGAGCTGCGCCCCAGCCCTTCTGGTCCTGAGGCKGGGTCTTGCTGGATGCAGCCGCTGCGCCTGACCGGAAATGGCCTTTATTCATAACGAGGTGCCCAGTCAGGCCGGGAAGTCGCTCTCGGGCAGAAACAGGGCCACCTTCTTCACCTTCATTCATGAGGATGCGCATTGCCGCCCCCACACCTCACAGGGGACCACTTAGTCGGAACCAGACTATTTTCGGGGTCATGTAGGGAGCTTTCTAGAAAGTTTCATTAGAGCTGGGCCCCGGGGCKCACACCTGCAATCCCAGAGACTTGGGAGGCAGAGGCAGGAGGACCGCAAGTTCAGGACCAGCCTCCGCAACTTAGTGAGGCTGCCCCAAAATCATGCTTTGGGGATCTTTGTAACCCTGGGGACTGAGTCTCATTGCCAGGTCCTGAGGCCGTAGGTGTAGGAAGGGCCTGTGAGGTTCGGGGCGTGCTGAGCAGGGCCTGGGACACCTCTATCCTGAATGGCTGTGTGCTCTGTTTAGTGCACCACCAACACCTGGCTTTAGTTTTCATTCCAGCGCCCTCTACATGCTCTGTTGGTCCCTCCGTCACTCCCTCCCAGGAGTCTGTTTTCCATCAGTCTGGGCTGTGAGAACCCCCCTCCCACCAAAACAAACTGGACCCCTCCCGTGAATTTGAGGTTCAATTCTGGACGAACTTGCTGTGTGACCTTAGACAGGTTGCTTTCCCTCTCTGTACAATGAGGAGAGTGGACAGATTCCTTCACTGGCTCCAGGGCAGCTGATGTGTGATTTGTCCCCTTCCTGGAGATGCCACACTYACGCTGAAAAGTCTCTCTGGAGCAGAAACAGGGCCACCTTCTCCTCCCGTCCTTGCCTACCCCTGGGTCAGGGGGCTGTCTTCCTGGTGTGCACCATTTCTCTGGTTCTCTGATTACTCCATGGAGAAATGACGGCTGACAAGGAAATACTTTGAAGTCCAAAGCGTCCCACCCCRGGCTGGCCGAGGTCCAGCGCCTGGTCCCCGGGGCCTGCTGCCGACGGGCCTGGCCTCCTGTCCGGGTCTGACTTTGATTAGCGATTTCTCCAGAAACACAGTTCCCAGGGGCGGGTGGCCTTGGGAGGGGGACCTGTCCACCTCCTGCCTCCCGCCAGCCGGGCTCCGCCACGCAGGCCAAGACGACCCACTGATCATGTGATTCTCTTTTATTGAAAAAAGGTGCGCGGAAGGAAGTTCAAATGCTAATAGTGCTTATGTCTGCTGATGCGGACCATTTTTTCTGTGTATGAATATAGATTATATTTAGTGTAATGTACAATAGATAATAATATAAATGTGTTTCTTTAGAGACTTTCAGTGAGAGCTGGGCGAGGTGGTGCACGCATGTAATCCCAGCGACTGGGGAGGCTGAGGCAGGAGGATCTCAAGTTTGAGGCCAGCCTCAGCAACTTAGCAAGATCCTATCTCAAAAAAGAGCAGGATGGGGCTGGGGTTGTGACTCAGTGTTAGAGCACTCCGGTAGCACATGAGAGGCACTGGGTTTAATCCTCCGCACCACATAAAAATAAAATAAAGGTATTGTCTCCACCTACAACTAAAATATATATATATATATTTAAAAAGGGCTGGAGGTGTAGCTCATTGGTAAAGCACCCCGGGTTCATTTCCTAGTATCTCTAAGAACAATAACAACAAAACAAGGTYTGATCAAACTATAGGACTTTTTTCTTGTCTTGCATTTTTTCATACATTATGTCATATCATCAACATTTTTTTATAAAATATATATTTCSAAGTTTTATTTATTATGTTTCAATTTTTAGTGCATTGAACCCAGGGGTGCTTAACCACTAAGTCACGTCCGCRGCACTTTTTTCAATATTCTATTTGGAGACGGGGTCTCCCTGAGTTGCTGAGAGCCTTGCTAAGTTGCTGAGGCTGGCTTTGGACTTGCCATCCCCCTGCCTCAGGCTCCCTGTTTTTATTTTTATATTCTTGGGGTGCTGGGGACTCAAACACACAGGGCCTTGCACACACGAGGAAAGCGCTGACCACATCCTCTTCCCTTATTTTATTTTTTGCTGTACTGGGGAGTGAACCCAGGGCTGCTCTACCGCTGAACCACATCCCCAGCCCTTTTTATTTTTTATTTTGAGACAAGCTCTCACTAAGTTGCAGAGGCTGGCCTCCGACATCTGATCCTTCCCGAGTTACTGAGATTGTAGGAGTTTGGCTTTGCACCCAGCTCCTTATTATGTTCATATTGAAATCGACAGAAGAGTTGGATCTATGGATGGGGTACAATGTCACATTTTGACACATGTAGGCGTTATGCACAGTTATGACATTATGTGTCTCTATCATCATTGTACAGCTTGTCCCTTAGGGTTGGATATTTGGTTACTTCCCGTATTGTGCTCCTTTATTTGTTTGTTTTGCTGTTGGTGCTTGGGATTGAACCCCGGGCCTTGTGCGTGCTAGATAAGCTCTCTGCCTCTGAGCTGCTTCCCAGGTCCTGTTATGCTCTTTTACTTATTTATTTATTGTCTCAGGGATTGAACCCAGGGGCACTTAACCACCGAGCCACATCCCCAGCCCTTTTTATACTTTTTATTTAGGGACAGGGTCTCACTGAGTTGCTTAGGGCCTCGCTAAATTGCTGAGGCTGGCTTTGAACTTGAGATCCTCSGGCCTCAGCCTCCCGAGCTGCTGGGATGACAGGCGTGGGCCACCGCCCCCGGCCCCTGTTATGCGCTTTTAAATAACATTGTGATGATTTTTATTCTACTTCTGGAGCCATCGSTCAGCACTCCAGGGCCCACGGTCACTAACGGCAGTCCTTCCCTCTGCCCTCTCTCTGCAGAGTCCAGGAGTGTTCCGGCCGTGACCTCTGCGACCCCCTCCGCGGAGGTGAGCTCAGTTCCTGTGAGGGTCGGGGCAGCAGCACCTGGTGGTTTGCAGGGATTGGCCCCGGAGGGAACTTGAAGCCCAGCTCTGCCTCTTCCCGAAGTTGCAGCTGAGCCCTCTCCAAGTCTCTGTGCAGGGACAGCGATTCCATGTCCCGGGGCTGGAGGGCCAGGGCAGCCTCGCCCSGCAAGGGAGACGCCTGAGTCCAGTGGCCACTCTTTTCTCTCTGAGCCTCTTGGGCACCCCGAGCTGCTTAGCCTGAGACACAGTTCGGATCATCCCGTCCCTCCCTTGGCTCCTGGTGTCATAATTGGCTGCAAGAGGCTTTCCCCCAAAGCTGCTTACCCAGGTCTTAGGGTAATCCAATTTCCCTCAGCCTCACCGCTGCCTCCCCCCGGGGCCTCCGATCCCCTCAACGCTAAGCCGGAGCCTCAGCCACTCCTGGGTCTGGGCAGCGCGGGGCAGGAGCCCAGGCTCCCGGACTGTCCGGGCACCTCTGTGACCCGCTGCAGGGGAAGCCCATAGCCGGGGSCGAGCTCTCCCAGTGCAGGTCCCTGGGGAGCGAGGCAGAGGGAGCGGAATCCCTGCCTTAAACAGGAGACGCCAGGAATCCTGTCACAGTGAGAGTTGGAGGGGACACACCTCCAGGACCTGGGAGGTCACGAGACAGGGAAAGGGAAGCCCAGGGTGGCCCAGGGAGGTCTKGGAGAAGGTGGCGCCCAAACTGGGTCTGGATGATGTTGGGATCCAGAGAAACGGGCCTGTGACGTGGCCTGTCTCTCCCAGGTGCCTACGACTGAGGAAGAGGAGCAGGAGGAAGGCCGCAGGAAGGTCTCTGAAAAAGCAACCAGCCTCCCAGGTCAGGACTGGGGACGAGTGTGTGTGTGTGTGTGTGTGTGTGTGTGTGTNTGTGTGTGTGTGTATATGTGTGTGTGTGTGTATGTGTGTATATGTGTGTGTGTGTGTGTGTGTGTGTACTGGGGCTCACCACTGAGTCACGTCTCCAGCCCTTTTTATTTTGAGATGAGATCTTGGTAACTTGCTGAGGCTGGCCTCAAACTTGCAGTCCTCCTACCTCAGCCTCCCGCGTCCCTGGGGTTACAGGCCTGTGCTACAGCTCCCGGCAGGATTGGATATCTTTGTCTTCCTCTGACCTGGTGGACACGAGACTCTYTGCATAAAATCTTTTCTTATTTGGGTACTTGGCAGAGGATCAATGGCAGAAATAGTTAATGACCCGATTCATTCAGGTGTGACGTGGTTAGCTGAAACTTAGCGGGGACCAGGCGCAGGAGGGAGGAAGCAGTGAACTATTTCACAGTTGGCCCAGGATACAAAGGCGTGTGCCACCACCTCGTTCCTGGAGTCGGAAGTGGCATGCAGCCTTCCCGCCCCCGGCTCCCCACACCTTCAGGTCTGGGAAACTCAAGACAGGCCGCGGGTCCTGTGCGTTGGGCTAAACGTGCGGGACTCGGGGGTCCTGGCCCCAGGGTCGGAGGCTGGGCAGTTCCTGGGTGACTCCCGGGCTGTCCGAGGAGGTCCTGGGTCMGGGGTCCCTGCCTGGCTGGCTCCTGCCAGGTGGACAGCCCAGTGTGTGCAGCGCACCTGGAGGAGCCACTGGACCCGGGGCTGAGCTCTGCCCAGCTGGGACAGCACAGACTTCAGCTCCTCCATCCTCCCTCTCCCTCTGCTCCCCCACCTCAGGACCTTTGCACCTGCTTGTTCCTCTGTCTGGATGCTCTTCTTCCACCCTCCACTTGACCAGCTCCTTCCTACCACCCAGGTTTCTGCTCARAGGCTCCCTTCTCAGAGAGCCCGTTCCTGACCCTCCTGTCTGACAGAGGTCCCCTCTCCCATGGAGACTCGCTTCCCTTCCTGGGTTTGCTTTTCTTTTTTCTTTTTGKTAGTGGGGATTGAACCCAGAGGCACTAACCACAAGGCCACCTCCCCAGCCCCAGCCCCTTTATCATAGTTTATCTAGAGACAGGGTCTCACTGAGTTGCTGAGGGCCTYGCTGAGTTGCTGAGGCTGGCTKKGAACTGGCARTCCTCCTGCCTCAGTCRCTGGGGTTCCAGGCGTGGGCACTGTGCCGGGCCTATGGTTCGCTGGGCATCATCGCCGTGGCCACCGCTGACGTCACCTTGCACATGACCTGTTGGTCTGCCTCCCTTGACCACAGTGTTGTGTCCAGGGGGAGGGCCTTTCTGTGTCCTGGAGACTTAGAGCCAAGCCTGGCCACGGGACCCTCCGGACTTTACTGAATGAGGGAGGAGGATGGTGGCGGATGACAAAGTAGCGATCATGAGCGGCGGGCGTCTGCTCTTCCTGTCCAGGTGTGGGGTGCGCCCCGAGGGACCTGACTTTGAGGTCCGTGAACGCTCACCAGTCAGGCTGCTGGGCAGTGCCTGGCCCTGGGTGGCATCTACASCAGCAGTGGGCACCGTTCGTAGGAGGCCGAGGTCCTGGGTCCTCCCAGCTGGGGCTTCTGCGTTCCCAGCGGACAGTGGTGGCTTTGCTTAGGTGTCCCTCTGGCCGGTCCGGGGTCTCTGGCACCCGCAGGAAGGGTCTTTCTGGGACAAGACACGGCCATTATGAAGCCRGGTTGTCCTTTCCTTCACTCAGTGACACGTTTTGAGGGCTGCTTTGGACCAGGCCACGGGAGCCGCTGGGAGCAGGGCCGAGGCACCCGCCTCCTCTSGCCAGAGAGCCAGCTTGGAGGGACTGGGGGTACCCGGGGGGACACTCAGCTTGAGTGGGGGTCCCTTCTCAAAGGAAGTGGCCTCATCTCGTCTGAGACCTACTGGTCAGGTAGGGCCTGGGCCGCCCAGGGCTGCAGACAAGGGGGCGACCTGTGCCACTGGGCGGAGCGGGGCTCTTGAGCTGGTGACAGCACCAGCCACGTGGCCTCTGTCCCTCCTGTGTCTCCTCCTTTCTTTTTGTGGCGCTGGGACTGACCAGGGCCTGTGCGTGCGAGGCAGCCTCTCCCAGCCCTTCTTGTCCTTCTCCAGGGCAAGATTCTCGGCCCGTGCCGCTGCCCACCTTCCTGGTAGCTGGGGGAAGCCTGGCCTTCGGCTCGCTGCTGTGCRTCGGCATCATCCTGAGGTGAGCCGGGCGGGGGTCTCCGTGACGTCCTGTGTTTCGGATCTAGCTGCCCTTCACCCGGAAYCACCGAATGTCCAGGGGCTGGGGACGGGGCGTGGTGTAGAGCCCTGGCCTGGGGAGCTGCGCGCCCTGGGTTCTAGCCCAGCAGCGTGTGCACGCACACACACACACGCGCACACACATGCAACACACACGCACACACACACGCAACACACACGCACACACACACACACGCACACACACAGAGAAGCGCTTTGGGGTCTTGGGAGGCTCCGGCTGGCGGGCGTGGTGGTGCACCCCTGTGATCCCCGTGACTCAGGAGACCCCGGGAGGCAGGAGGATGGCGAGTTTGAGGCTCGCCACAGCGACTTAGAAAGATCCTGAATCCACATAAAAAAATCTAAGTGGCTTAGGGCCTGGCTCAGTTTCTGAGGCTGGCTTTGAACTTGTGAYCTTCCTGCCTCAGCCTCCCAAGCCCCTGGGATCGAAATAATTTTAAAAAAAAATTAAAAAGGGGCTGGGGATACAGCTCAGAGGTCTGGTGCCCTGGGTTCAGTCCCATTTGCACACCCACACCATCTGCTCATCCAGTCATTCACTCAGCACCTCCAGCACACAGAGCGCCCACTGGAAGGCTACCCTGACCCAGCACTGCAGGACAGAGGCCGATAGGGTGGAGATGTCTCATGCGGAGGGCAGACTGGAGAGGTGACTACAGGTGTGTGGGTGAGAGCTACCAACAGAGCCGCTGAGCCGGGCACGGAGCCTCGTGAGTTTCTCAGCAACTTTGCAAGGCCCTGAGAAACTCATGAGACCCTGTCTCCAAATAAAAAATAAAAAGGGCTGGGGATGTGGCTCAGTGATCAAATGCCCCTGGGTTCAATCCCCGGTACCACAAACAAACAAAAAACTTCTTTTAGATAAAGAACTGTTTTTTTGTTTTGTTTTGTTTTTTGGTATAGGGGGATTGAACTCAATCACTGAGCCACATCCCCAGCCCTATTTTATTTAGTGACAGATTCTCACTGAGTTGTTAGGGCCTCGCCATTGCTGAGGCTGGCTTTGAACTCACAATCCTCCTGTCTCAGCCTCCAGAGCTGCTGGGATGACAGGTGTGTGCCACTGTGCCCTGCTCCTACTTTTTAAATTTAGCATTCTAATATAAGCATTTTTTTTTCATGTAATTACAAATTCTTTGCAAACCTCACTTTCATTAGCTGCAGATCCCTCTATCCGGGACTAATACCCAAGTTCACTAAACCAGTCTCCCATTATTGGGCAGTTGGATGTTGTTCTGCTTTTATCAACAACACTGTGCTGGACATCTTTGTGCCAGAAGCCTCTCCATAGCTCTGTGCTTCCCGGAAGAGGAGTTCCTTGGTCAGAGGGTCTGAATATTTTGCAACCCAGAGTATAAAGAATCCGTCCTCTATCTTCTCACAGGGGAGGAGAATTCCACTCAGGGACTCAGCAAAACTTCAATAAGCACCCCGCTGGGCTCTTCCTGTGTGGGGCCCTAAGTCGCATTCTGGGGTTGTTTATTCCATTTGGTCAGTGGGCTCAGAGCCCAAGGCAGACGTGGCGCCAACTATCAATGACCTCTCCTCACAAGGACAGGAATGGCCTGCTGATATAAAAAGAAGCCAAGGAAAATGCCCAAATTTTGTTTTTGATGTTGGTTTCCCTTCCTCCCCGTGATGCCTCCTGGAGCTGCTGATATGCATGTGCTGGACTCAGGGAGGCCATCTCTCTCCCACTCTGGGGAACAGGTCAGCCACAAGGTGGTCAGGAGATGGGGGAGAAGAGGCCCGGCTGCCTGGGCKCGGGTGAAGGGCCCCTTCAGGAAGGAGACCGGCCGCACCTTTGAAGATCAATGTCACCATCTCCTCTTTCTCTGAGTTGTCAAGTGACTTCTCTCCGTTGCTGAGCCTGGCTCTGGGCCCAGTGTGGAGCCCCGTGAGCGAGGCTGTGATCAGAGAGATAGATGTCTATCTCCTTCCTGTTTGGCACCGACTTTCCTGTCCGATGAGTCAACCTGTGCCCGGGAGCCCACAGCGTGAGGGTGGCCGCTCTCGCTGGTTGGGTGGGACGGACCAGAGGCTCAGGGAGAGTCGGGGGGAATGGGCATGTCAGGGAMGGGAGTGTCACCAACACTGAATGGTGGTTCAAGGGTGCTTCCTGCTGGCCTTGATTTGAAGGAGGCCCATTTTCCTTCCCACTAAAAGAAGACGTGGCTGTTTTGTTTTTTAGTCCTGGGGATTGAGCCCCGGCGGTGCCCTACCACTGGGCCACATCCCCAGCTCTTTTTACTTTTTGTTTTGAGACAGGGTCTTGTTAAGTGGCCCGGACTGGCCTAGAACCTGGGGTCCTCCTGCCTCGGCCTCTGGAGTCACTGGGATCCCGGGCGTGATCCACCATGTCCTGATGTTTCCCTTTTCAAAAATAAATGGATTGGGGACTGAGGACGGAGAGCCTGTGGGACAGGACAGATGAAGGGATGAGCAGGGACTTTGGTGCTCCACCAGGACAACCCGGCCTGCCTCAGCCCCCTTTGTCAATCGGCCTAGCCGWGGAGACCTCCCTTCTTGGGATGCTTGGGAACTCAGCCGCTCCCCGGAGGCTGGCGGAATCTCTGGGGTTGGAGACCAGCTGCCGATGGGATGAATCATCCTCACGCCTTGGAGCCGAGCCTGGGCGCCCCAGACCTCCAGGGCCACCAGCTGTTGGGTTCATCGCAGGGGACCGTCACAGGGGTGTGATGTGTCTGTGTGTGTTTGTGTGCAGGTTCAGGAAGACGTGGAAGACACAGGCCCTGAAAGAGTGCAAGACGGGCGTGCCCCCGCCGTATTCCCTGGGCCAGTCCAAGCCGACCATCGTGCTGGCCCCCCTCCTCTCCCCTCCCGTGTCCCCCAGCAGCCTGGGCTCCGACCACGCCCCGAGCCACAGCCGGCCGGATGCCAGGGACTCGCGGAGCCCTTTCGACATCAGCAACAGAGACTACTTCTTCGCCAGATAGCTGTCTGGTGGCCCCTGGCAGTGGGGGGACAGAGGTGCTGAATCGTGTGGGTGACGCAGCCCACGCTGGCTCTGAAAGACGCTTCTCACTGCCATTCCAGCTCATCTCAGGGGCGTGGGGCACTTGGCTTCACGCTGACGGAAGGTTCTAGACTGGTGGAAATCGGCTTGCTGCACCTGCTCTGAAGGAGGAGCTGGTTGAGCTTTCAAACMGCTCTTCCCAAGCGCTCTGCTTCGGGGGTCTCAGCGACTCAGGACACTGTGATGAAGCCGCACCAAGACTCGATGGGCCCCAGGGTGTGGAGGAGCCGCCCGGCACCCCCACACCCTGACTCATCTCTGCCCGCCCAACCCTCAGGCAGGGGCAGGGGCTTCCAGGAGGCCTGCCGTGGTGGCTGGCTCCTGCCCCTGCCCAGTCACACCTTGTCCCTCCGACTCTGGAAACCCAAGTGCCTTTGCCATTCTGTTTCCCGGACCTGAGGGTGGCTTTGTGCCAACCACTGAAGCTGGGGAGGGAGCTCTTTCCTGCCTTCCCCCCACACTTGAAAAGCAACTGGTGTGTGAGKGTGAGCGTGAGTGTGTGTGTGTGTGTGCGGGGGTGGGGAATAAGTCTCAGGGCCGAGGGTTTAAGTGGAATCATAACTAGCTCCTCACGAGCGTTGTGCTCACTGTGAATGATAATCCTAGGCTTTTGCTGACTACAGACGCAGCTGTGCCAACTTTGTCCCCCGGTTGGGATCTCAGGGCTTGAGGACAGAAGCAGAGAGGAAGGAGGGGAGTAGGGACAGGGTCTTCAAGGTCCCCTGTGGTAGCTGAGGGGGACCCCAGCTCTGGAAACCAGTTTCCTCTCCCCCCTGCCAGTGCTGGGAGCCAAGCCAGTTGACTTCATCTTGGTCAGTGGCGGTGCCGGCYGGACCTGAGTGATCGGTGCAGACGGTGTCCGTGTGGAAGGAAAAACGAATCCGGCAAGAATGTGCTTTGTGTTTTCAAAAACCTGCTCTTTTCTCTTGAGGTGCTGGGAGGCCCAGTCTTCTCTGGATGTCGGTTTATAAATCACTTGGGGCSGGGCACAATGATTCTGTTGAGCACCAAACAAGTCCACTCAAAAAAGGAGGAGAAGAAGTTTCCCTTRTGGAGAAGAGATTCTGGTTTCATCCCGTATTTTGTTTTTGTCTTACAAACCGTAAAAATAGTCTCTGCCTCTTCTCTGAATTGGGGAAAAAGTCACTTGTGACTGCCCCCCCCCGCCCCCCAGGTGGTTAGGAAGGGAAGGGTGTCCCCCTTCCTGTTGTCATGCCGCCCGCCCACGAGTACCCGGCAGGGTCCTAGAAAGTCCCCACTGAGACTCACAAGGGAGGTTCATTTTTCTTTTTTTTTCTTTTCTTTTTTTTTTTTATAAAAACCCCTTACCTGGGTTTCTTCCTCTTTTTGTTTTGTTCCTTGAACTGGATTTGGCTCAGCTCCCGTGGAAGCTGTTCAKCGGTGACACCCCATAACCACCAGCTCACTTTCCTGTCGGGGCTTTGAGAACTCAGTGATGATCGTGTCACCCAGACAGGTGACCGCAGAGGAGAGCGGCGATTAAAACGAGCCGTGGAGCCACAGACCCTGAATTTACCAGGCCACAAGACTTTTCTAGAAGTTCACCCTTTTAGAAAAACACCACGGCCGCCAGGCACGTGGCGAGGGGTGGAAGCCCCTATGTGCTGGGTTCCAGGTGCCACTGCCTCGAGCCCTGGTGGCTCTTCCCATCCTGCCGCCTTAGGCGGGTGGCCCTCGGGGTTGACAAGGGTCAAGCAGGTGTTGGTGGCTCTCCTTTCCCCCTCCTCTGTCAGGTTTCTGAATCACAAAAATGCTGTGAAAGGAAATGTTAGAATGAGGATCTGCAGGGGAGAGTGTGACTCTGCCCACGGCCCTTTAACTCTCGCCCAGTTCTGCCCGCAGCCAGGCAGGGCCGCTGGCGGGGGACGTGAGAGCCAGGCRGCTCCGACCTCCAAACTGTTATTGCTTTCACTGTTATCGTAACRGAACTGCCTTTTTCTTTGGGGGGGCGTTATCACAGAGGGTTCCCCCTTTACCTGTTGTAAGCTAGTGTCAGGGGAGGGAGGCCTGGCCTCTCTGGGCTCAGGGTCTGCTTCGTGGCCAGGCCTCTGCCTAAGGCTTTCTGTGTCTGTCCACTAGTCCCAGGGATCACTCTTCCTCAGGTCCCYGCAGCCCACGGGCTGCCTTGGATCCTCAACAGGGCCGACCCCCACCTACGGCCTGCGCCCTCAGACGTTGAAGTGTGTGGACAGGGACCCAAGAGGGAGGAGGGATGCACGAATTCAGAAGCCCATCTTGTTGGGTGGGCCCAGTCGAAGACATGCTGGATCCAGGTCTGACCTACAGGGAGCACCARTTCTTGCAGCATTAATGGCATGTTTTTAAAGCACATTGGAGTGTGTRGTACAAGGTCTTTGGGGGACTCCGCGGTTTGCTGTGATGGGTCCCCCCCTGGCCCTTTGTTGGCCGGACCCTGAACTTWCGCTGGGCCTCCTCCACTTCCCYGCTGTCTCGGGAGCCAGGCGTGGGCTCCGTTGTGGTCCTGAGTAGAGCCCAGCCGGGCAACCTGGGGCTGGCCAYGGCTGGTGAGTCTCTTGAAGATTGTTCTGGAATGTCTTGCCCAGCTGCTCAGGCGCTGACTGGTCCCATGGCAGGTCCTGAACAYTGACCCACTTGGGAAGGTGTCCCACCCCCAGCCCCAGGTGGAGATGGTGAGAATCTGTCCTCATTTGGAGAGACGGGGGCCACCAACGGTCCTTCCCCAAACAGCAACCTGCCACGGGGCTGTCACCATCAGGCTCCGGCAGCTGCCTCCGGCTTTGGGCCAGGCACTCCCAGGCGTCCCTAAAGGTCCTTCCAACCTCTGTCCCTCGTGTGGCTGGGCGCCAGCTCCAGGGAGTTCCCATGGCAACCTTGACGAGATCGCTAAGGAACATTGTCAGTTTTCTGAACATGTGCTCAGACGGAGATCTGCTTTGGAAGGGAAGGACTGGGACAGGGAGAGACCTCGCCGGAGGAGCCCACGCCTGCTGACCACCGTACCTCAGCTCGGCATCGCTTTTGGAGAGAAACAGATCATTGTTTTAAGGGACTTCCCTCTTAATTACCTGAAAACCAAGACCAAAGGCTGATGTCAGTGTATTTTAATTTTTCAATGCTTTTTCCCTTTTATCGCTATTTTGCACTTAAAATGAACCTGGTCAATGTTTGAAATAAATCATTTCTGAAAAAGACGCTTGAGATGTCATTTTGCTGCGGGCACCTGGGATCATGCAAAAGTCAAGACTCGCACGATTCACGGGGAGAAAGGAGCCACGAAGGGTGGGTGATCAGGAAGCACTATTTGGGGGGAGATTTCCTCTTAAGGCGGGATTCAAGGCTCTCTGGGGGGGAAAAAATCAGATGAAGCTCAAGAAGTAGCAATTTCCCAAAAGGCTTTGATTATGAAAGTGTTTTGAAACTGCGTCCTGGGATTTGGGGACSGGGTGTGTGTGTGTGTGTGTGTGTGTGTGTGTGTGTGTGTGTGTGTRTGTCTGTCTGCCATGTTTACCGACTTCATTGGCAGATGATGGACCTGCGGGGAAGGAAAAGGAAGGGCCATTATTCATCAGAGGACTGTTTATTGGACAGGGGTGGGGGTGCTAATGCCATCACAAAGGCCACCCTGGACTCCTGATCCTCAGATAGGCGGACTCTGTCCCCTATTGAAAAGGGTCTTAGAGAGGAAGAGCTTGGGACCCGGCCATCCACGTCTTCCAAACAGAGGAAAGGCCATCGCGGGGACGCTTTGTGGGTGGAACCGCTGTGTAAATACCTCAGAGCTGGGACAGGGACCTTCAGGGGAGACTGGGAAGGACATAAGTCAGACCGAAAGCTCAAGTTGGGGCCCCCCACTGCTTGGCCCCCGCCTGGGCAGTCAGGAAAGCCACCAGGACTCCCTGGGTCCCTGGGGACAACGTGTTCTCTCCTCAGAGCCGGTGCCTGTCTTGCAGAAGGCAGGAGCCAGATGTCCCCGGTGGTGGGTGGGCTGCGTGGGCTGCGGAGAGGGCTGGAGCCGTCCACAGAGCCAGGAAATGGAAGGAGCTGCTTCCCCTTGCCCACGGCTCCCTGCTAGGATGACATGGTGACCGCGCTCTTTCCAGAGAGCTGGGGACGGCAGATGGTGACAGAACACTCAGTCACTGGGACTCTCCTCAGAAAGCATCTCCCTTATTTACCGAGGCCCGAGGACCCGTGCTTTCTGCAGCTCTGTGAGGAGGGCGGGGTGGCGCTGGAGACAGGGCTGCCACCTTGTGCAGCAGAGGTGGCTGCTGGCCCCTGAAATGTCACCACGCAGCACTGAGCGTGTGAGGGCTGGGAGGGGGACCAGCACATCCCGCCCCCAGGGACGAGGGGAGGTCAACTCATGAATGAAATGAAGATCTTCAGTAAAAGTGTGGAACATTCACATTCCAGGTGTAGGTGACCTTGAACCAGGGAGCTCCTCCCACGATGACTTCGAAATGCTTCATAAAGTCTAGTGCTGGGACAAACGGGAAGCTCCGTTTTCACATCTCTGTACTTCCCAGTCCTGGGGATTGAATCCAGCAGGGCTCTGTCACTGAGGTATTTCCCCAACCCTTTTTATTTTTTTTTAAACTTTGAGACAGGGTCTCACCAAGTTGCTCAGGCTGGACTTGAACTTGCAATCCTCCTACCCCATCAGCCTCCTGAGTAGCTGGGATTACAGCCACCACACCCAGCACGTTATAATTTTTTTTAAAGAATAAAATTTATCAGGAAGGAAATGGTACTCTATTTTGGTTTTTAAATGTGTGCGTCACTCCTTAATAAAAGGGTTTGGTGTTGGGTCTTGCTCGGAGCTAGGCAAGCACTCGACCACTGAGCTATTACACCCCTAACCCTTCAAGGAGAGATGATTCTTCTTTTTCTTTTTGGTTCTAGGGACTGAACCCAGGGGCCCTCTACCACTGAGCAACACCCCCAGCCCTTTTTATTTTTTCTTTCTTTTCTTTTCTTTTTCTTTTTTTGCATTACAATTCTTTTTTTTTTTTTTTTTTTAGAGAAAGAATTTTTTAATATTTATTTTCTAGTTTTCGGCAGACACAACATCTTTGTTGGTATGTGGTGCTGAGGATCGAACCCGGGCCGCATGCATGCCAGGCGAGCGCGCTACCACTTGAGCCACATCCCCAGCCCTTTTTATTTTTTCTTTCTTTTTTTTTTTTGCATTACAATTCTTACAATAATTTACCTTTTTATTTTTGAGATCTGAGAGAGGGTCTTGTTAAGTTCCCCAGGATGGCCTTGAACTTGAGGTTCTCTTGCCTTGCCTCCTGAGTCTCTGGGATTACAGGTGTGCACCACTCTGCTGGGCTTCAGTGGAAGTTTTAAAATGCTGGAGACACTCAAGTGGGACATGTTGTCATCTGCGGCCAGCAACAGAGGGAGGGAGAGGCCAAAGTGCTTGCACCCTCCCAGCAGGCAGCCGGCTCTCCCGAGGAGCACGATACACAACAGTGTGCAACCACACAGTGTGCAACGGCTTCTCCTCCATCAGCTGTTTCAATCCCACGTTGGCTTCACCCACAAGGATTCCAGCTCAGAAGGTCTGGTGCAAGCTCAGAAAGTTAAATAAGCTCCCCTAAATGACTCAGATGAAGGTAACAATGAACTCTGAACCACAGATGACTGGGTACCTTGGGGACCCCGTATTCTGGAACTTACTGTGCATCAGTGGATGTCTTCAGTGCATGGGTCTGTGTATCAGAAGAGCCCCGGGTCCTTGGGGTCACAGCAGCAGGTGTCTCATACGCACTGTGAGGTCCACAGGTGTTCCCACTGTGCCGCCAGCTCTGAGGACCTCTGCTGCCCACGGGACTGGAGGGAGAGTCCCACAGCAGCACGTGACTGTGGGAATCAAGTAGGAAACAAGGTCTACAGGCAGCAAAGCCGTCTACGGCCAGCCTCGCTGCTTCCCTAGAAGTTTATAGTTCCTTTTTGGTAGAGRTCACCTATCAACGTTAGCTAACAAGGGCTGGGGTGTGGCTCAGTGATGGAGGGTTTGCCAAGCGTGCTTGAAGCCCTGGTTTCATCTTCAGCACCGAAAAATGAATAAAATAAAAACAACTAATATCACTGGCTATYATTACCCAACCCCCAACGAGGGG